AACAGCTTTGCAATAAATATATGAAACTAAATATGACAGATCGCCTTTTTGATACTTTTGCGTTCGATTGAGTTTCTCTCCCAAGCTGTTCTAGTCATTATATTCTCTTCTCGACGATTTAAACGAACTTTCGACTAATTTACAGTTGCAAAATTCTATGTGGAATTAGTGTACAGTAACTACTAAATCTTTGTTTTATTATAAAGTCCTATTCAAACCAAATTCGATTTTGATTAAAACCAAATTATGTTAGTTATATTGTTTAAATCAAAGATGACAATTAATGGGGAAAAACGTTGCGGGTAAAAATGAACTGAAAAAAACTATTGGGGACGAATAAAATGTTCGTTTTGTTTGCGGTTAGCATGGTTAGAAGTAGCTTATCCTATGCAAGTTAACAAGTTTGACTTCGGCCGAGTATGTTTTTAAAGATACGTCTTGTTTTAATTATACTAGTATTGCACCACATACATTTGGGGTAAAGTTAGTGGCTCCCATTTTTGTACCGCACTTGTAAGCACCACTGATAATCAATCTATTGTGCAAATCGACAAATCAATCTTGCATATAATTACTACCTGGCTTTATGTCTCGTATATGAAACTTGTTTTCCGATATTACGAAAATGAGAAAATTGGCTTTAGTTTTAAATATTCAGAGGAGAAAAATGTGTGTCTACATTTCTGTAGAAACTCCCTGTTCACAAGAGCCATGTAAACATGGCCATCCCCCGCAGAATGTGACTGCTCATTGGAAGAATGTATATGTAGTAGAGTAGAATAATTCCATTTTAAGAGGTCTTTTGATAACGAAAACTGATAACTGAAGTGATTACAGATTTGAAACCGACGTGAATACTATGGCTGAAAATAACAAAGGGCAATAACTGAAAAATAATGCAGGGTAGGTTATTATTTTATTGTGTGTTGCGCTACTCCTCACTGAGATCTATCCACCAATGAACTTTCATAATGATACCTCTATATTACACTTTTTCAGATCAGCTCCGGACAAAAAGTATGAAAAATAACAAAGGGCAACTACTCAAATATTATGAAGGGTAGAGTTGATAACTTGTGCACTCCATGCACACCTCCTGAGTGAGATCTAGTTTCATGTTGATATCTCAAAGGCTTTTAAGTTATGCCCTGGACAAAAAATTATGTATGAAAATAACAAAGGACAATAACTAAAAAATAATGCAGGGCATGTTATCATTCTTGTGCACTGCACTCCTCCTCATTGAGATATATCCACCTATGAAGTTTCAAGTTGATATTTTTGAGATAAGCTCCTAACAAAAAGTATGAAAATAACAAAGGGCAATAACTTAAAAATTCCGAAGGGTAGAGTTATCATTCTTGTGCACAGCATTCCTCCTCAATAAGATCGATCGACCTATGATGTTTCATGTTGCCATCTCAAAGACTCTTTGAGCTATGCTCCACTCAGGTGAAAAGATAAGTATGAAATACAAGAGGGTCATGATGGCCCTGAGTCGCTCACCAGAAACAACTGCTTTTCAGAGTTGGAAATTATCCATTGTCAATATTTTCTGATATTTAATTTGAGCATAGAATATGTTTAAACAATAATTTAAAGAAATGCCATGACCTGGGGCATTTAACCTTTAGCTTAAACGGCACCAATCAAATTAATATGAGCAAACTTGATAAAAGACCACCTAATAATGCTACAAAGTTTGGTGATCATCTATCAATTATTTCAGTAGGAAATGATCAAAGGTTTTTATATTTATGGCTTTAGTGGCCCCTAAAAGGGGCCAATCAAATTAATATGAGCAAAATTGATAAAAGCGTACCTGAGAATGCTACAGACAAAGTTTATCATCCATCAAATAGTTCTGTAGAAAAAAAAGTGTCTAAAGATATTTCTATTTTTAGCTTTAGCGGCACCTAAAAAGGACCAATCAAATTAATATGATCAAAAGTGATAAAAGACTACCCAAGAATGCTACAGACAAAGTTTGGTGATCATCCATCAATTAGTTCTCAAGATATAGATGTTTAAAGGTATTTCTATTTTAAGTTTTAGCGGCCCCTAAAAGGGGCCAATCAAATTAATATGAGCAAACTTGATAGAAGACTATCCAAGAATGGTACAGACAAAGTTTGGTGATCATCCATCCATTAGTTCTGTAGAAGAAGATGTCTAAAGGTTTTTCTATTTTTAGCCCTAGAGACCCCTAACAGGGGCAAATAAAATTAATATGAGCAAATTTGATAAAAGAAACTACCCAAGAATGCTACAGACAAAGTTTGGTGATCATCCATCAATTAGTTCTCTAGATATAGATGTTTAAAGGTATTTCTATTTTTAGCTTAAGCGAGCCCTAAAAGGGGCCAATCAAATTAATATGAGCAAACTTGATAGAAGACTACCAAAGAATGGAACAGACAAAGTTTGGTGATCATCCATCCATTACTTCTGTAGAAGAAGATGTCTAAAGGTTTTTCTATTTTTAGCCCTAAAAAAACCCTTAAAAGGGGCTAATCAAATTAATATGAGCACATTTGATAAAAGACGAACCAAAAAATGCTACATACAAAGTTTGGTGATCATCTATCAATCAGTTCTCTAGATATAGATGTTTAAAGGTATTTCTATTTTTAGCTTTAGCGGCCCCTAAAAGGGGCCAATCAAATTAATATGAGCAAACCTGATAAAAGGGTACCTAAGAATGCTACAGACAAAGTTTGATGATCATCCATCCGTTACTTTTGTAGAAAAAAATGTCTAAAGTTTTTTTTCTATTTTTAGCCCTAGAGACCCCTAAAAGGGGCCAATCAAATTAATATAAGCAAATTTGATAAAAGGCTACCCAAGAATGCTACAGACAAAGTTTGGTGATCATCCATCAATTAGTTCTCTAGATATAGATGTTTAAATGTATTTCTATTTTTACCTTTAGCATTCCCTAAAAGGGGCCAATCAAATTAATATGAGCAAACTTGATAAAAGACTTCCCAAAAATAGTTGGGACAAAGTTTTGTGATCATCCAGCCATTAGTTCTGTAGAAGAAGATGTCTAGAGGTTTTTCTATTTTTAGCCCTAGAGACCCCTAAAAGGGGCCAATCAAATTAATATGAACAAATATGATAAAAGACTACCCAACAATGCTACAAATAAAGTTTGGTGATCATCCATTAATTAGTTCTCTACATATAGATGCTTCAAGGTATTTCTATTTTTAGCTTTATATGCCCCTAAAAGGGGCCAATCACATTAAAATGAACAAACTTGATAAAAACAACTACCCAAGAATGCTACAGATAAAGTTTGGTGATCATCCATCCATTAGTTCTGTAGAAGAAGATGTCTAAATGTATTTCTATTTTAGCCCTGGAGACCCCTAAAAGGGGCCAATCAAATTAATATGAGCAAATTTGATAAAAGACTACCCAAGAATGTTACAGACAAAGTTTGATGATTATCCATCCATTAGTTCTGCAGTAGAAGATGTTTAAAGGTTTTTCTATTTTTAGCTCTGTTGACCTTTAAAAGCGGCCAATTGAAATGACATGAGCAAATTCAAGTGTGACTGTTACAGGGATGCTACAGATCAAATTTGAAGTAAATCTGTCCAGCGGTTTTAGAGAAGAGAAGAAGACGATTGTTGACGCATGACGACGGACGACGGCGTATCCCCCTTTGATATTTATAGCCCTTCCTTAGCCTTCGGCTCTGATGAGCTAATAACAAAGGGCAAAAACTAAAAAAAATATGAAGGATAGAGTTATTATTCTTGTGCACTGTATTCCTCCTGAATGAGATCTATCTACCTATGAAGTTTCTATGAGTTATGCTCTGGGCAAAAATTAAGTTTGAAAAATAGCAAAGAGCAATAACTGAAAAATTATGCAGTGTAGTGTTATCATTCTTGTGCATTGCACTCCTTATCTACCTATGAAGTTTCAAGTTGAAACCTCAAACACTTTTTGAGATATGCGCCGAACAAAAACTGACGGACGGAAGGACGGACGGACTGAAGGACGGAGACTATTATTATATCCACGCCGCCTTTTCAGCGGGGGATAACAAGCAAAAATGAATTGTTTATACGCGTTAAGATTTCTGTAATTGTTTTAAAAGGTTGGGTTTGGCTGCCGAGCTATTGTTATATTTCGTCTGTTATTGTATTGATCCCAACCAAAGGTATAACTAAAGCTACAGAGTATGAATTAAAAATGAATATATATAAAAATGGCGTCTTGATTTAGATAAGGAAAGGAGTCTTCACCCTATAGATATGCGAGTAACAGTTAGATAGGTACCGAGTTTTGGTCACAATGCGCAGGTAAACATGCTTGTAATATTCGTCTATCGAAAAGAAAATCCAGCATTGTACATCATCGCCAGGTCTGAACGAAACCTTTACATCATAAGTGTTTATACCCGTTCTCACTGCTGAACAGCGTTCATTGGAAATAGCCCCTCGATTAAAATTTAAAAAATCAAATACTGCTATAAATGCAGACATATTTTAGCTTTTTAGCTTCACAAAACCGTTCAGTTTGGACAAATCGATTAAGTTATGATTGAGAAATAAGTGAACCCGACGTAAACATTTTTACTTTCATTTTTGGGCCATTTCCGGTAAACGCTGTTCAACTGTGCATCTACTAAAATAGACACGAACACGTTTAAACGCTTAAGAGTGCCTTAGAGTTTGCATAAAAGCATCTAGTACATAAAACTTCAAAAGTCGATAACTTTGGAAGAAAAAATGCCATCGAATATCCCCATGATAATAAATAAAAAATACAGTTAAAATGAAAATACTGGATCAGTTGGAAAAAATGTATGATAGATATTAAACGTAAATATCTATATAGTTAACTTTAGTATTTTTGTTTATAATAATCCTTTAACATAGACCTGGAAGTGAATTTGCAAATTTTCATCATTTTACATTGTGAGTTTTGTTGTTATATGAATTTCGGTTAACAAACATGGCTGACAAAGCTGAATCACTTACGGAAAAGTGTCTTCTTTAATCCATTCACAGTATTTTGAAACACGTCGTTGTGGTTTGAAATTTGTGCACAAGGTACATCTTTAAAATGTTTATTTTTCAAATGTTAATATGAAATCACAGTAAAACAACTGACCAAAGAAAACTTTTTAGAAAGTTAGTTTCCTAGGAAGTTAGTTCAGTATAGTGCCAGGTTATTTTATTCAAAGCCAATGAAAATTCAACAACTCATACCTAAAGTCTAGACAATTGTCTATTTATAGATGTAACGTACGAATAAATTTCTGCAAGCGTCTAGAGGTACTGCTCCAGTACTGTATTGAGTTAACAAATGTTGCTGCAATGCAGCAATTGAGAAGCTCCGCGCGCAAAAAAAAAATGCGCTCGTTACAGATAAATTACCAAATATTTCCTCCACAAGGTCATTTTCTATTTAGATTTAGAACTATTGTACATTATCCCGGATTTATTGTAAATCATTTAAATTTGCATAATTATACTAATCGTATGCACTGTCCATGAGGGAGGGGTCAGATATTAAATTTTAAAAAATATGCTTTCACTGATGCCAAACTTAAAAGTAATTCCTAAAAAAAAACAAGACTTACAAGTTTTGTAATGTGACATGACAGTAGTGCAACATTGTTCTGTTTGTGTCACTACTGTAGTCAGTAATATTATATTATAAAAAAATATCAAAGCATGTACATTTTCTTTTTCACCTATGATGCTACTCATTTTCTACAAATATCAACACCTAATCATGGTAGGAAATATAAACATTCATATGTAAATAAGCCAAAACAAAAACTTTCATTGACTTCATTTTTCAAAATGCACGTTTCGAGGCAAATGACATATCATGATATAACAAGAAAAGCATTGATGCAAAGCCTCAAATGGCGTCTAGGCATGAAATGCAGCAAGTGACGATGAACTAGCCAGATTTTCTTTTAAATAGTTAATTGGATTTTACCAGAATTGTATATCATAGATTAATGGACTGCCGAAAGACATTGTTCATCAATAACTTTGGTAAGCTTGCTAGAGATTAGAATATTAAATGTATTTTCTTTCGAACATACAAAACAGAAGACAAAATAAACAACGTCTGTTTTCTTATTATTAAAATTGTAACAATTGTACAAACAGTATATAAAAGCAAACGGGACTAATATAGTAATAATACATGTACATGCATTTATTCATGTCAATTTAAAATTGTTTCTATTAATACCTGGGACTTAAGATACGGTAGTTATATTTTAAGTCCCAGCTTTACTGGTGGAGGAAGACCTCAGGTGCCCTTCCGTGCGTTATTTCAGGCACGAACGGGCACCTGAGTAGAGACCACAGACGTTCCGTAAGCTAGCTGGATAGCTCCCTCACATGAAAGAATCCAAAGTCCTTGTCGGGATTCGAACCCACAGCGGTGAGGGGCAAGTGGTTTGAAGTCAACGACCTTAACCACTCGGCCAGAGACGCCCAATCATGATCAATAAATTAGACAAATATCGTTGTTTTTTTTGTTGTTTTTTTTTTTTTCACCGAATCTTACATTTTCCATTCATTATCATACATAAATCGATGTGACCTTTTAAAGGTCATTCTGTTGGGTGAAAATGCAAGATTTTAGCAAGTAAAGTTAGTAAAAAAAATAGTAAAATAACATAAAAGGATTTTTCTGACATGGTATACGAATCTAATTTTTAATTGATCTAAAGGAGTTCTAAAGGAGGACATCATACTGCAAAATAATATGCCCGCCCCTTCTTTTCGAAGGTGGCATAGCTACTAATTATTTGCTTTATTTATTCTGATACTCTTATTACGAGAATATCAGGGGCTATCATATAATTATGATATTTTCCAATGTATAGACTCTTTATTTCAACTAATGCAACTCTGCCTATAATGCACTAATTAAGATGGTATTTACTGAAAATAAATAGATCTCACTTGTGCATGTATAAAAACGTTACGTTCCGTTTTTATACGGACGAATAAAGTGCCTGCGTACTTTGTTCCGTCTGTTAGCAGTTCCATGTCCGGTCTTTATCATTTGAACGATGAGAGGAAATCAAAACTTCTTTGCAGAAATGTTAACCCATCGTCGGATACCCACGATTGATAAACATGTCACATAACATGCAATCAATGAATGTTAATATTCGGCCGTGGGTATCCGACGATGGGTTAACATTGATGTTAACCATAGTAGGACGATACGCAGAGCTCAGGTCAGACCTTCGTAAGGTCAAGGTCACACTTTGTCATCAAAAGTTCGTGTCCGCACCGATATCTAAAATATTTGGCAGAAATATTACCTAAACTGAGATGATGTTGAGGCTTCCCGAGATAAATTTTGGTACTGTCTATGGGATAACTGGATTTATATACACTAACATAGGAAAACACATTTAAGTCTCGTTGTGTGAAATCTTAGATATTTAGTATGTGGCATTGCCTTATTGATATAAATCAAAATTGGCCCCTGGGGTCACTTGATTTACAAACACTTATATAGGAAAAGAACATCTAAGACTTATTGTACTCCAGAACTTGAATATTTAGACCACATTAAGACTGGTATTAAAAATGGCCTCTTGGTCAATATTGGCATATAGCACTGCCTAGTAGACCGCTATAAATGTTTTATAAATCATGCCCCTATGCTCAAAATTGACCCTCTTCCAAGCCTCTTTATGTAGACTAATGTATAGAAAAACACAGCTTACCCCGTTTTGTCCAGAGCTATAATATTTCGCATTACCTTAATGACCTTTAAAAGTTTTATGAATCATACACCAAAGGTGGATAATACCCCCACCCTGAAGATCATTAAGAATCATATTGATAAGTTAGATAAACAATGTTTACACACGTTTCTTGATTGGGCCACTTCATTAATTGAAAGATTATTTTGATTACTCAAGCATATTTTAACATTCGGTAAAAAATACATGTATTGCCAAGTCTTTGCAGTGCCATTACTGTATTGCTTAGTTATACATGAAAATGCATAAAAAGAATGCATAATAACTGTTGGTACTTAAAATATAGCAGTTTTTTAGAATTCATTTAAGTAAAGTGTCTTTAAAATTACTTTAAGTGATATCGTCTTTAGACACTCAATCCACAATAATGAGATTTCTTTGTAACAGACTCCATGTTTGTCCTATAGATTATCATGCACGTGTATTGACTAAGTAGACTGAGATTTTACGCCCTCTAATTTTAAGAGAGACATTACAGGTCAGGCTTGGAGAACTCTATTTTGAATGCCCTCAATGTAACATGTCTCAGGATCAAACAAGCCGACCACTTGGCTATTTATCTGATGCTCTCCTTATTTTGCTAAGCGCGCGGACATAAAAAGGCAATTAAGTGATCATCAAAAAGAATATCAAATCAGCTTACAATACTATGAGTATCTAACAGCGTTGATTAAAACTAGAAACGAGTGAAAACCTAGTCACGCTGTAAAGAACACAACCTTGTAAAATTGTCAGTACAGTATTAAGACCTCATTATAAGATGGTCTTAAAAACTAACTTTTGATATGTGACTGTTACAGCTGTAACATTACTTTACTACTAAGTTACATACATACATATATTTAATAAACAAATGCTTGATAAAATTACATCATTAATTTGAAAGCCGGAGGCATCCACGAGTTTCTCCAGGAAGCTTTTAATGGTACCCGATAATTGACAGCTGTGCATTACGCACGTTTATTTTTTGACAATTCCAACACACAAACAGTTCTGTTATGTCATTTTAAAAAAACTGTTTTATACATTATTCATTAAGGATATTTAAATTATAGAATGCTTAAAATGACTGCATCCACCAGAACAAAGGCATTCAACAGCGTATTCAGAGAAATACAGACTGGTCTGAGACTACTGGTCTGGTTTCATTTGACGTCATTGGCCTGTTTCTTCAGTCAAGCGTTCAAAAGTTACTCATATGATACTTTGAAGACCTTTATAGAACTTTTGTTTGAAGTATTGCTACCTATGAGTAACATACTCTCATTGCAACATATGCTTCCAGGATTTCTAATACCATCAGAACAATCAAGAAGCGTTTTCACCAGGTTAAGATCATTTGACAATTGATTTACATTGTTCGATTTCTTCCCACACGCGTAAACAGAACCTGACAAATCTACTGTGATTTGTGAAACATCTTGTTGCTGATCTTGATATACACTTTCAATTTTACCATCAAATGTCATACTGGTTATATTATTTTTGTTTGTGTCTACAATGTATACTTTTGTATGTTCTGGACTGGCCGCTAAATACCTTGGTGCGGAAAACATAGGCATATTTGCGGAATCTGTATCAAAAGTCATTATAGTGTCGCCAGTTTTATACATGACTTCAATTCTTGGAGGGTTAAGGAAAGAAACGATAAGTTTCATCTGGCAACATGCAATCCCATAACAATTTCGACCGACTTTTATGTCTTCCGTCTTAATCATAGACTTGTTAGAGCTTGAGAAATACATGAATGTCACTACTCCAAGATTTGGAAGTGTGACAACTGCTTCCGTTTCTTCACACTTTGCAACCATGGCAGGTCTGGATGAAATTTTAATCACTTTAAAGTCGTCTTTCCCATGATTTAGGTCACTGAAATTAAGGACAGACTCCTTCTTTTCATCAGCAACAAGAAGCTGTGTATTTGACAGGAGGCACATACTTGAAACTTCAAATGATCGCAGATTTGATTTATACAAATATGTTGCCACTTTCTTTCTGTTTGAAACGTGTATGTGCTTCAACGTAAAAAATGATTTTCTTGCGTCAAGTTGTTCTGTGGTCATTCCGATTTTGGTAGTTTCAACCTTAAATGGCTGTACCTGTATTTCCGTGTTTGTTCTTAAAGCAAACATGTTCTGTTTTAATTCATTTGCCTGTCTTTCAGCCGATTTCATTGCCATGAACAACTTGCATCTCTGCTGTGTTTTCTTCTTCAGTTCAATATCTGACTTCACGCTTTGAACTTGCGTTGATATATTTTTGGTTTGTTTAGAAAAATTCTTTATTTTATTCACTTCGTCATCTGTAACTTTCTCCACAATTCCTAATACATTACATGCAACCTTGTGTATCGTCTGCTTAAATTGATTTTCTTTTTTTACAGCTGCTTCAACTTTCTCCTGTCTTTCTTTCTTAAGATTTTCAATAATTTCGTTCATTTTCTGATCAAATTCTTCAATGCTACTTTCTTGTTGTTTATTATATGTTTTTACAAGCTCTTTTTTGTGTTCATTAATCACTGACTTTGCAGTATCTTCAAGGTTTTTTACAAAGTTTCTATTACTGTCCAGCAGTAGCTCTGTTTCGCACGTGTCTTTAGATATCTCCTCCATTTCTTCTTCTAATGCCTTTAGTTCCCTAGAGTTTTCTATATCTTTGACAATTGCCGGCAAATGTGCAATTTGTGTACATGACTGGTGCTGAGTACCTTTGCAAGTCATACATGCAAATTTATCGCATAATGGACAATAAAACTTTATTACTTGATCAGAATGGTCAGAACATTTCACGTTGCATATGTCCTTAGGCATGTTGTATTTATTTTGAATCTTATGTCCAGGCATGTATCGTGCATGGTACTCAATACAAATCGAGCACATATATTCTGTGCATTGCAGGCAGAGTCCAGAGGCGACCGCATATTTTCCAGTATACTTTTCACATTGTTCACAGCCAACCTCTTCAATTTCATCTGAGTCCTGCAACATGTCATCAGAATTTACTGTACCTTCAGCCATTGTTTCAGCGTTTTCTAAAATGTATTTAAAATATACACGTATATTGAGGTTGAAAACACCCTATTAAATTGAGCCACCATTATGTTGAAAATATAAACAAAACAAACAAATTATTTAAGTCAACATCATGTGTAAATTTTTTTGTAGTAGTATTATGTTTTAAACCTGCTTAACACAATACAATGTAGTCGGATTTGTATTGTTATTTGCGGATCGCTTTTACCGGCTTTTGTCTCTTTTCTAAAACGGTCATTTTTCCGATATTACTAAACAAACCAGTAATATCGGAAAAATGACCGTTTTAGAAAAGAGACATCCACGTTAAAAAGATTGTAACATTCAATAATATTTGAGTTCTACAAACCTCTCAAAGGGTTATTTTATCCCGAAACCAAGTGCCTATGGCTTTTGTACGGAAAATAAGGCTCCAAAAATATACACTGTACATGGTCATTTGCTCATCTTTTGCTCTTTAATAAGTTTAAATCTATAATTGAAGTAACGTTAAATGCCATTTCAACGAGTTAAAATCTGTCAAACCTTTGGGACATTTTTTTTAATTGACTTGTTGATGAATCGTATAACTCTATCAGTCCGTGTCGTAGTCGATCTTATTTATTCCTGTTCTTGACAGTCTACATTGATGAATCTTTCAATTCTAATTGTTTAAATAGATTTTGAACTTTTATCGGTGATGATAAACTGCGTTTCTTCAGCTGGTTTCGTTTGTTGTTAATTACCGTGGCTTTAGCAGCTATACCTCTACAAAGATCATACATTGTGTCTACGTCTGTACATAATCAGTCCACTATCATTACTAGTTAGAGAACGTAAATGTATATAAATAAACACAGAGAAGAGCAACTTTAAAGTCTTAAAATATCAACCATGACCCAGGATTGATCAAATAAACGCTGCTTGGCTCGAACAGCTCCGCTACTATATCTACAACTTTTGATAGATTTTTGAAGCGAGTTCAACAAAGTTCGAAATAAATAAATAAAAAAATAAAGATCAGATGATCAGCAACGTATCAAAAGCCTCAATTACGTACACTATCATATAGTTACAAGCCTTGGTCTTTATGAACACCAGCTCAATTCATATGGTTATTGCATTGGCTGCATCTTTTCAAAAGATCAGTTTTCACAGAGGTAATCTCAAAAACAAATTTCAGCTCCTCATTTTTTTCGAAAACTTACAAAAACTAGTTTTCTACAAATTTAAAACAGTCGCAGTGACACCTGCCATAAGAAATATAGATATTGTCTGCTTAAAATGGTGTATTTACATATATTTTGGTGTGGAATTATTTGTACAGTTGGTTTAGTAGCCAATGTAATGGATGTCACTGATTCTCACAACTGCCAAGGAAATGTAAAGCATCAAATTTAGTCACTCAACAACGTTGCTGCTGTTGTAATAATTAAACTAGACTCTTTCATGAAAAGAACTCGTGTCCGAACTTCCGACGCTTTTGTGACGTCCAGACCAGACAAAACGTGCTCTTTGTTGCTGGAGATCAGTGCACGCGTTTAGACGTCGTGAACGTATGCCTTAATTCTTAAGACAATCGATTATATTTTCTGCATCATAGACTTTTAACTTCGCGTGAGCACAAAACTTAAATGCTTCAATGAAAACAGTTGAAAATTACTTACCTTCACTTTTTACACATTTTGTGTGTATTTGATAATAATCTTAGTCTATTTATATTGTATAATAAAAATGTAGCACATACATTGATACATACCCAAAACAACTACATACGGTAAATACATATGCAACAGTTGTTGAATACCCTGGCCATTTTGGTCATTGTTTTCTATTATTCTATCCAGCCAAACATAAATATCCTCTTTTTTATTGATCTCTTATCCCGGAAGTTATAAGATTATTTATGAAGTGACTACAACAGGGTCATTTTAATATATCGACGGGGAAAGAGCGGAAGACGTTGCATTGGCCAATGGATAATTGACCTAAATGCCTAAATTTAACGACACGTTTAGTGTTGTTAAATCACTTTCTCTTTTGTACAAATTTTTAGATGTTTGACTCTTTGGCCATGCACAAAATAGTATAAAAGTTGGTGAGTAGTTATGTTGAATTTTGGGTCGACATCGTGAGTATATTAACGTTGAACGTTTTGTCGACACTTGCATTCTTGAGAGAGATAGGTTATAGGGCGAATAAATAACAGTATAGGGAGCATTATCACATGGTGCATAGGTTAAAACATGCAACATCACAATCTAATCTTTCGGCATAATAATGCACGACACCATGACGCAAGTTCATCCACAGGTGGCAGTATCAGTGTTTGGACACCCCACCCCTGTCTGCCCCTGGGCCCCTACTACAACCCTGAAAAAAAATAATTCAACACTCTAAGGCTTACTATAAGGTACCAAATACAAAACCACCGATACAATTATATAAAAAAAAAATTTCCACTATCAAAATTATAGTTATAGAAAGGTGAAAAGCCTACTATATGGTTCATTTGCCAAACAATGTGGAACACGGGAAATCGTCGTTTCAGCGACTGAGGCGCATTCCGGCGGGATTTCGCTGCATCATTCATTAACATCAATATAAAGAACTAGAATTCCACAGCTTACCTAATTCAAGTCCAACGAATATCAATATCATTCCGATTTTTTTCTGTTTCACGGTATTTTTTGACTTGTCGCTGCCATTTGGGATTCTGATACCTGTGTGTTATATGCGATCTGATTGGACATCCAATTTGGCTCATCCAATCAGATCACGTATTTCAACCCAGGTATCAGACTGAAAAATGGCTACGACAATTCAAAAATTATCGTGAAACAGAAAAAATCGATATATTGATATTCGTTGGACTTGAATTAGATAAGCTGTGGGATTCTAGTTCTTTTTATTGATGCCGGAATGCGCCGAAACAACGATTTCCCGTGTTCCACATTGTTTGGCAAATGAACATATAGTATTTTCACCTTTCTATAACTATAGTTTTGATAGTGGAATTTTTTTTTATAATTTTGTCGGTGGTTTTGAATTTGGTACCTTATAGTAAGCCTTAGAGTGTTGATTTTTTTCAGGGTTGTAGTAGGGGTCCAGGGGCAGATAGGGGTGGGGTGTCCAAACACTGATACTGCCACCTGTGAGTTCATCAAGACTTTCTGGCAAGCCTTAATATTACCACACATGACTAGCCGCCGCATAGCTCAGATTTTGACGAACTAAGAACTCAGTTGGATTACATAATATTTCCAGGAGGATAAATCCATGCATAGGAAAGTAAGGGCCGCGACGAATGTGCAAGTGGTACATAGGCAATTACTAAAAAGTGAGTCGGAATAAGGAGGTACCATTAAATATGCTTGAATAACCGTGAATTTCTGGCAAGAACATAGAGAAATATCTTGATAATTTGTTGATAAAAGATTAATTATTAGGCGGATATTAACCATTCTAAAGACTTCTTTCTTTACATTCCAGGAAGTATTCTTTTTTTATTTGTGTGCATCTGGTTAAAGATGCCATCTTAGCACCCTTAAGACATGTAAGAACGATTCCTTTCCGCGATGAATACCAGTTTAAGTGATTAAGAAATTTAATGTCTTATACGGGAATTGAAATATTTGATTTCTTTTGCAGTCTATAGAGATAATATTAGGAACAAGAGCTGTCCGTAAGACAGCGCGCTCGACTTTTTTATTGCTTGCCAATAAAAAAAGTTTTTGCAGTAAAAGGCAATACAAGAATCTCTGTATTTTTAAAGTGAACAATGGCCATGAGCATTAAGATATTTAGTGAAGAATTATTTTACTGAATTGTGTAACTTGTCCACCAATCAAATAGGCGAGATAAAATGTGAAATATGCATATACTACTGATTTTAATTTCAAGTACAAAAAGAGAAAAATAACTAGTTGTTTTGATACCCTTGAATATTACAGCAATGTTTATATGACATAATTTATGGTAAAGTGAACAAGTGGATAGGAATGAATTTTTTTAGATTTTTTAAGTTTTTTAGTGCTTGCCTATAATACAAAACATTGACAGTTAAGGGCCATAATTCAAATAAAATCTTTGACAGAATTACCTTCTCCTGGACATGTTTGGGAATCATGATTGTAAACAAGTATTCCAACTTTCAAATTAATATCTCAAACAGTTCAGTCAAAAAGTGGACTGGTACTAAAAACTTAACCAAGATTCTAAGTCGATAAAAGGCCTTAATTTTTAAAACAAATCCTTGACAGAGTTACCTTCTCTTGCGTACAGATGGGGGTAATGATGTGAAATAGCATTAAAAGTTTCAAAGCAATATCTCAAAGGGTTAAGGCAATAAGTGGATTTTACCCATATTCAATGTATTTTCTAAGTCAAAAAGGGGCATAATTCTGTCAAAAACCTTGACAGAGTTATGTCCTCTTGTCTGTTGATGAAGGTCGTGATGGTAAACAAGTATGGTCAGTTTCAAAGCAATACCTCCAATGGTTTTGAAATAAAGTGAGGTGGTACAAAAAACTTAACCAAGCTCAATACACTTTCTAAGTCAAAAAAGGGCCATAATTCTGTCAAAAACCTTGACAGAGTTATGTACTCTTGTCTGTAGATGGAGGTTATGATGGTGAACAAGTATGGTAAGTTTCAAAGCCATACTTGTAATACTTCTGAAATAAAGTGGGGTGGTACGAAAAACTTAACCAAGGTGTGACGCCAACGCTAACGCCGACGCCGACGCCGACGCCGGGGCGAGTAGGATAGCTCCCCTTTTCATAGAAAAGTCGAGCTAAAAATTTAGATTCTAAATATGAAGCGAAAAAGAGACAAGTTTGAAGTAAGTGTTATCACTGGGCCGCGTTCCTGCTGTACCATATTTAAACGTGCTTGCTTGATAAACTGGTACAACTTTCAACTGTACAGGTCTACATTTACTAACAAAGTTTTGGTACATCCTCCTCGGCCTTTACCTTTTCCACATTTGAAATAATCAAACAAAA